CTCTCTCTCTCTCTCTCTCTCTCTCTCTCTCTCTCTCTCTCTCTCTCTCTCTCTCTCTCTCTCTCTCTCTGCTATTGTAATGAATGGTGAAGATGATTATGCAGGGAGATGAAGATGGTGAGAGGATGGAGAGGCTTGGTTCAAGTTTGTTGTTCCTCTTCTTCTTCGCCGTCTTTTTGTTCTTCTTCCCGCCTTAGTTCTTCCTGGTAATCTCATTCTTCTTCATCCTGAGTTGTTATGAATACCATCGTCTTAAATTTGAGTTTTTCTTTGTGGAATGGACAGGATCATAGCAGGGGTATAGCCCACACACGGCTACGTACCACTGATCTGTGAGAGCAACCACGCATTCATCATCGGAGCGCGAAATAACCTGTTTTTCTGGTTCACTGTACATAACAGCCTGTCCGTTGGCAACCAACATCTGCAAAGAAACAGGCATAAAATCACACGCACAAGGCGTTCTCAAATTATACACGTGGCTTATCGAAAGGTCAAAAACCCACCACAATGCAATAGAATCCAAGTGCAAGACCTTCCTTTTTGAATTTGCGACAAAATAAGCTTACCAGCAGAAAGCTCAAAATGGCAGGTACACAAGAAGATATGACAGTGGCAGGTGGCCCACCATAGAGGTGGTTACTGCTCCCTCCTTCCCACCCCCCACAAAAGAAATAGCTAACTCCCTCTATAGTGTAGCATGCTAAGGCCGCTACACAGGCCCTGTTTTGGGCCCGACGGTTGTGTTCCAGGCCCCCAGGCCACACACCCATTTCTGGTGAGCGACCTGGAGGCCCACGGCCATTTTTCCATGCCAGGCACACATTTGGTTCCACATGTGTTCTCCTTTATTCAGCATTTATTACTTCTGCTGGGTTTTGTCTGGACTACTTTTGTCTGTTTCAGATATGTCGGTTCGGACTTTTCCTTTTGTCAGAAAAGGCAGATGCCTGTTCGGACCAGTGGATTTTAATTTCGGCCGTTGTGGGCCAGGTTCAGATTTGTCCGTATGTGGGACTGGACCAGGCATTCGTCTGTTTGTGCCTGGCCCAGTCCTCAGGACCCTGCTGCATCAGCAGGGTCGCCTGGACGTCCGATAGGGCCACAGGCAGGTCGTTTTTGGCCAGAATTGTAGGACCGGGACTTGGGCCTGCGGTCAGAACCATTGATCGGACATCAGATCCGACGGCCCTGATTGCAGACCGAGGACTGCTCAGCCAGTCCCAGCGGTATATAGCTGGGCCAATCCACTTTGAGGACATTCGGGCTGGAGCCTCAGTTGGGCATCATGCTGCTGGAGCAGCACCAGTTCGGAGAGAGCTGTGATAGAGCAGCATTGGACGAGTAGAGAAGCTGGAGTGGAAGGATTGGGGGAGGCCATGTCCACAAAGGAGACAGAGACTTACCTGGGTGACATAGCTGGGACTTCATACTGGTCATGGGACCGGCCTTCAGCAGCGACCTGCATCGGGAGTTATCGCCTTCGCTGGTCAGTATTTGTGGCATCATCATCAGGAGTACACGAGGGAGGAGAGTTCTTCTTCGTCGTCGTCGCCTTCTCCTGATTCCTCTCCGCCTCTCCATAGCCACTATTCTTCTTCTTCTCCTCCTCCCTCTTTTTCTTCTTCTCCACAGAGAGAGAGAGAGAGAGAGAGAGAGAGAGAGAGAGATTTCAGGCGGTGACTATTTCAGGCCTATAGAACACCCAGGATCTGATTCAACATTCTGAGGACAGACATTGGCTGGACCTTTGACGGGGAGACTCCAGGGTGTCTTCTCTCCCCTCTCCATCTTTGTCTCTCCTCCCTCCTTCATCAGCTGCGGTTTCTTCCCCATGTGTGTGCGCAAGGAGGTACATTTCTTCTATGTATGATTCCCCTCCTTGGGGCAATACATGTGTGACGATGATTGTGTGAGTCGAGTCTGGATCTGATGTGTCAGGTCATATATTTGAGTCTTCCACTGCGCTACACTGTATTGTATCATTGTTTTTCTTTGTCCTGTTCATCACACTGGTGCTCCTTGGAAGAACAAGAAAAAAACGGAGTACGGTGTGAAAAGGATGAGTACAGGATATGAAGGGGACAATAACTTGGATCAGTTGTGACTTCAGAGGAGGTCATTTGCTACATTTCTCAGTGAAGTTTTTGTTTGCTTGAGACTGAAACGCTTTGACTCAATCCGGTACGAGCTTATGATGCAAAATCCCTTCGTGGTTAGAACGTTGTGACAGCATCTGGTCTCCATGTGAGCTGTAAATGAACAGCTACTTGGATCTCTTTCACGTTTCAACAGTCTGCAAGGGGTTGCATTACAAGCATGCAAAAGGCGTGGCCGCTTACCTTTCGAAGAAGTGGTTTTGCATCCTGAACCTTCGTGCCCTTGTGCTCACCAACCAGCATCGTACCCTCCAAGAAACCCTGAGAGTCAGCAAGAAGCCAAAAACAGCACAAAACAGCAAAGCGCTTTCCAATCAGCAAGCCTGGCCTAAGCCCTTAAGGCACATACACTAACTGACCCTCTGGTGTTCAGATGGACAGGTAATCCAGCCTACACCTAGCGATCGCTGAACAGCATTTATACACATCAGTCATCATGTTTGTGTTCCGTCAATCTCCAAGAACACAGCACAACTCAGCTGATCCACCAAAAAAGGGCACAAGTAGGACCCCATCCAGCAAAGAAGGGCACAAGTAGGACCCCAATGGGAAATCGAACTCCGTTGGAAAGTGACAGTGATGGAGACACCAACGAGCCTAGCTCAGGTGGAAACACGACAACCGCCATGAGCTTCTATTTGTTCCTCCTCCATTCTCCTGAGACTTAGGTTACAATAGATTTGCTTACAGCAGCTCCGTACCTTCAGACTGGCAATCATCCGAGGGCCCTCCAAAACAACTTGCACAGTTTGTTCCCGCAAACGAGTTGGGATACAAAACGAAATAAAAAAAGCATTCACATCACAAATTCCTTGTGATGAAAAACATGGACATACAGATCAAGGTCCACAAAGCGACTGCTACTTAAGACCCGCGGCAGTTTAAAACCCCACATTAAAAGCTCTGAGACAATTGACACAGTCAAGAATGTGTCCTCCGTCAGCATTTGCACTCATATATATATACACGAGAAGAGAGCTCTTCCAGCACAGTTTGTATTGCAATAAAAAAAGAGAATCCTCCCTGTAGCTGTGAGCAGGTAGACCTAGCGTCCCTGTAGCTGTGAGAAGAACAAGAATTGTTGAGACACTAGTCAGTAAATCGAAGTACATTAAAACAATAAAACAACAAAAAAATAAAAGTAGATTCTTGCACCTGCCTTGTGGCTGAACAGTGCACACAAGTGACAGTTAACGCTTCACACCCTGATGGATCCAACGGCATGTTACGGGCCATCCCCCGAATCGGCAGAAAAAAGGAACAGCAGATTCCATAATGAGCCCACCTATAGACCTAATGCCATTGTAGGGGTAACTACGCGGCGGTCACAAAAACAGTTTGAAATTGCACTTCAGGCATTTCCCCGAACATAACACCCCCCCCCTCTTGACCGTACCCGACTGGAAAGCTAGCTTGTATGCATTCGACATTTTTCAGGCCGAATTCCTGACTGAAATGCAATTTAATATTGTTTCTGTCACTGCAGCGTAGTGTCCCCGTCATTGTATTTGTGCGCATGATTCAAATTCTACAAACAAAACACTTTTACGTAAGGAAAACCGAAAAGGTTACGTAACCCAGCAGGCAATTACAATCGGCAACGAAGACAATATCCAGAACTGAAAGAAGCCAAACTTGAAACTGCTGGACGCACCGCACCTTCAGGTAGGTCAGGCGCTTGGCCTCTGCCAGTTTGTCCTTGTCGTTCTGGCTCTTGATCTTCAAGTCCTGGCAAACCTTCACAGCAGACATGTCCCCAAACTCCGGAATGTTGATGATGGGCACCACCTCAAAGGGTAGAACCCACTTGTCCTCGACACCAAGCTTCTCCCGTAGAGCTGCACGCATAAATCCATACAACACCAGCAGCACTGACTAATCATTCCACTGGCATCCTATTTGGCGACTTGTCCAATCTCATCTTGTTGTTGTGCACGTGACATCTCTGTGCGGACCTGGTACTCCGTTAAGTGTTGTCTCTCTAGGAACCAGATCAGTGTCGTTGCAAACGCATGTATATTGATGGTAACATATCCATCAACCGAAAGGGCGAACTTTGCAAAACAAATGAAGAGAAAAGAGTAGACAGAATCGTGGAACATTGAGACGCTCCTTTTTGCCTTTTGCTGTGCACTTCTTTCTTTCCTTCCTCTTTCCTGTTGCTTTTTTCACGGTCCCTCTTTTATTGCTTCTTTTTCAATGTTGGGTATGCTGAATAAGGCGGACCAGTGCACGCGGGGAGGTTTTTTTTTTTTTTTAACGCAGGGAGGGTAATTAAGTAGGACAAGAACCAAGATGTTTGACAGGAGTCCTGAATGTCTCCGTGTGCCTCCGAGACAGCTACCAGCTATAGTTTTCTGGACAAACACCGTGAAGCTGAATTAGCACAGGAGAGAGAATTCCAGCAATATTAGCAAATTGTTCTAGTAGATTGATCGATCTCTCAGAGCCATTATCAATGCTCTTTCTTTTTCTGTGGACCTCTGGATGATCGATCTCTCAAAGCCAATGCAATCTCTTGTAATATACTCAAGGGGAGAAAAAGGCAAAGAATCGCTCTGTTATACATGCTAGAAACCCATTTCATCCGTCCTATTCCTTTCTTTTATTTTTTATTTTTTTTCTAATTTGGACCATTTCTGAATTTATGCGTGTCATCCTTGCACAGGGGCAATGCTAATCTTCTCTGTATCATTCCAATTTTACCGGATGTCCCAAAGGACTCATCCGTCCTACTTCTCATATTTAACATTGAAAAAAACTGTATGTAACACTTGAGGTTTACTTGTCTTTATTTTGGATCAAATACGTCAGAAGAAAGAAAGCGCACTACTTCAGTGAGTGAATCATCAATTCAACAAAATTCAATTATATGTCTTATTATGGTTGTCATCGTGCCGCCAGGAGGCCCAACTAACACATACTAATGCTAATGTCGAGCATCAGTCCGGCTCCTATTCCCCAGCTAGCCAGAACAAAAACAACCCAAGCCAGAACTCAAGTCACACCCCGACACTTCCTTCCGTCTGGCCAAAGGATCCCTGACCGACATCGATTGGACAATTGGCTGTCAGCTTGCCTTCCTTCGAGATTCCGCCAAGACTCTGAGTGTGATTGTTATTAGTTGTCTATAGATTTTATATATTGTCTGTAGACTTTATACATGTTTAGAAGATGTAGGAGCTATTGCTGTTGTTGAAAATGTGCTCTCGCTTATAAAGCACTAGTACCCCCACCAGTGTTGGGAAAATAGGGAAAACTGGCAGTATAGTTTTCCCCAACTCCTAACAAAGCGGAGGATGGGCCCGACGACGGCTGACGGCTGCCATTGATAAAGCTCATCGGTGACCGTCGTTTTGTTTCGGCCTCCTAAAAGGTCGGAGGCCTCACCCGAGGCCCACCTTGTTCCCACTTGGCAAAAGTACTACTGGGTGTTAGTCTGTTGATATGACAAGAACCGGGTCTTGATCTGTTCACCACCTCATCCCCCAGTTTCTTACTATGTGCACATCTGCGGTCCTCTCAGATGTCAGCCGTGCAACTTTGCTGCGTGACTTGAAGGCCACCCGCTTCTGCCAGCTGTTGTGCTCTGAGAGAGGCAGTCAATAGTGAACCTGCACTTGAAGACCACTCCTTTTCTCTTTTCCCCTTTGACATCACCCTTCCTACGGTGTACCTTTCTCCACATGGTCAGGTGTACACAACTGATGCGATAACCACTCACTCACACGTTCCCTTCTTCCTTCATACACAACCAATGCCTTCACTCAGGTTGAGAATACATCCTTTCTGGGTCTAAAATGCACCATACGATCAACCAAGTCATTTGGGAACTTGTATAAATTTACATACATTTACGTACATTTGCTATATTCAACAGAGTTAGGCGATCAAAGTTAAGAAAAATGAGTGAGAATGAGGCCTTTTCTCTTCATTACTTTTGGTCTTGTTCTCTTTCATTCCGCTTCTGTAAATATCTTATGTCATGAGAATGTGCTATGAAAGAAGACGCTACATACATATAGACCTGTGCATTACAACAAAGCGGTTCAAAGGGAGCAGAATCAGCAGATTGATGTTCGCTCCCAAGAATAAGATAGGAGTCATCGTGTCACTCCTATCCTACACTGTGAGTCATTTGGGACATGCTTTGAAATTGGAACGATGCAGAGAGGATCAGCATGGCCCCTGTGCAAGGATGACACACACAAATCAAAAAAAAAAAAAAGAGGATACCACTCGTGTGCCCTTAAATCACTAGTACCTCCGAGCCTGAATTTCACTGCGCTCCGAATCTTGCCCAGCCTGAGTCCCACTCCATTTTCTTCTCTCGTATTCTCACGGAAAGAACAAAAAAAAAAAAGAGAAGAAAAGTCTCCGCCGAGAAAGTAAAAGAAGAATGGAAAACAAGAAAAGGAAACAAACCTTTGGCCGTGAATGCAGTTGTATACATTCTTGGAACTGGTGGTGTGAGCGTGCCCTCAGTGAGGGCGTCTCAGCCCCATGGCCAGGTTGTTGGACTCGAGAAAAACAAAGCAAAAAAAAAAAAACAGAAAGGAGGAAACAGGGATTCGGCTGTGAAATTCGCTCGATACATTTCTCTAAGTGCCAGGGTGATGACGGTTACAATCGTCTGAGGAAACACATCTTGAGCAGATCACGGATTCCCCCCTGCGAATGAGAAAAGAACGAAAAAAAAAAAGAAAACTACAACATTCAGAATCTACTGTGGAAAACCACTGTGAGCACGGCCTCCTAGACTACCCTGCCCGACATCATTGCAGTAGAGAAGGTATCTTTCCTTTTCTTTTTTCACTAACGGGGGGCAATATATATAAAACTAAAGTTTATTCTTCTTGCCGACCCTCTGGTACCTCGGAACTCTTCAGGGACTTCGGGAAAACTGCCAATTTTCCCTAATTTCCCAACACTGACAGAGGTACTAAGTTGTTTAAGGGTAATTTACTAAATTCATAAATTTCCTTTAAAGAAAGAAAAAAGAGAAGACAACATCATACTCGTGAATTCTTGCATGTATAGATGTAACTGAACAAGAGAGGACCAGTGATCACAACAGCTCATCAGACCCGAATATATTTTTCAATCCACCCAGATACAGGCCCCATCCCCATTCCTTCCCTGCCCGCCCCACTCCCCCCAGCTCGCTTCAACAAGCTAACAACACAAGAAGGGGAAAGAAGCCACAAGGTTCTGTCAGACTCCCCATACCTGGCTTGTTCTTCAGATCCATCAGAGCTGCATAATCGTCTGGCGCATCACTTGGCACACTGGTCACAATCCCAGTACCTGGCATTGCACAGACAGGAATTCGATGAGTTTGCCTTCATAAGGAAATATCAGCTCAACATGCCCAGATCATGCATGAAAGGAGCTTTACAAAAACATAACGTAACCTTCCCCCCTTCCCCCCCCCCCAGACTGACTTTATGACAGAATACTTGCTGGTCACGTAGAGTCCAACTCAGTAAAAAGGCCTGGTAGAGGCTGGACAGCGACAAGATAAAAAATGTGTCCCCTCCTCTTCTCACCAACCCCCTCCTCCTTTCCCCCTCCTCCCCTTTCCCCAACCTCGCAGGCCCAACATCACAACAAGGTTTTCTAGATGCCAACCAATCTGATTGTCCACAAGAACAGCGAAGGCCTTGTGCAAAACAGGAAAAAAGGAAAAGGCCGATTTTTCCTACCAATCCCTTCCACCCAGCATCCCACGGTGTGGAAACCCGTGTTGGACCCAGCATCCCACGGTGTGGAAACCCGTGTTGGGCAATTGGCACGGGCTTGGTTGTCAGACTCAAGAACAATGAGGTGGTGGTTTAGTACAGAGGAACACGGCTCCAGAGAGAAGCCATAGAATCCGTGCATTAACTGTCGTATCCATGGACATCATATACCCAAGACATGGGAGGCTGGCACTAAGAGAACAGATCAACCACGGATTTGTGCAGTGCCAATCATTTTGCACTCACCTTTGGGTCATACCGTGTGATAAATGGCATTCACGGCTTCTCCATTTCATACATAGCAAAGATAGGCATGATTTGTCAAACGATCAGAACTACTTGCCTTTGTCAGTCAAGATCGTGAGCATCGGAAGAGCATATATTACAGGATTGACCGATAGCGGTGAAGACAGTGCAACGCCAATAAGGTCTTTCCCTTTCAGCTCCAGCAGACAATTGGGCTTCCCAGGTACCTGACAGAACAAACCCAGTCATGCCGCACATCAGAAAAGGCCAGCTTTATCTTGGAGACAGAACGTGGAACACAGCAAAGGGCACAGCAGACAAAAGAAGAAGAAGAAGAAGAAGAAGAAGAAGAAGAAGAAGAAGAAGAAGAAGAAGAAGACAAGAAGAGAAAAGAAAAGGAAAGAAAAGAAAAGGGCACAGCAACCTGCCATGCTGATGTCCTGTGAGCACAAAAAGCGTGCAACGTTGAAAAAGAGAGAATTGGGCCATTCAATAAATGATAGAACAAGAATACCATGTGGACTCCACAATTGCTCCACAGCAATTTATAGTTTCTCTTCTCCATTCAATGCTCCACATCAAGCTAGACACAATTAGCTGCTGCTATAATCTGGCTCCAGTCTTTCGAGTCCTGGCAAGATCTTTTCAGATCAAAATTGTCTACACTCCTGTACCTGCCCGTTTGCCGAATTGTACATATAGCCGAACAACAGTTTGTAATTCGTGCAAGGGAACTTCACACTCAGACACAGTAATACAACATCAGAGGTTTGTGCTTCTCAGCGGAGTGAAAAAGGGGAGAACCAAGTGTAGTATCTGTTCTGATCAGTTTAATATCTGATCCGTGGTCCATCGGAAAAAGGGGAGAATCATCCACACACCGACACAATCTATTTCTGCAACATCAGAGGTCTGATACTCCAGTCCAGTAATCTATATTTCATTCAGGAGGCAGCCAGCCCATGTGGCTGAATGGTACACAAATGTAACTGTTAGTAAACAGATCGTGAGTTCAACACCTGATTGAATTAAATGGATACGACAACAATTTGAGAAGAAAAAGAAAAAGAAAAAGAAGACAGGAAGTAGCCAACAGGGTAGCCTCCATAGTAGAAGGGAACAGAAAGGGATCACATAACATAAGCTAGAAAGTCACCCCTGAAATACCTTGGATCCGCCTTGGAAAGCAAGATTCATCGCCGCGCGCTTCGTGATGACAAATACATCATCATCATTAATCTCAAACGCACCATAATCTCCATCAGGAAGCACCCAGGCATTTGTTTGCCCATACATCGTTTCTGGACGGAGTGTAGCAGCTGCAAGGTACACATTCTTCCCTTCCAAAGCCGCAAGTTTCCCTGACCGCAATTCAATCAAAATCCCAATTACAACACTCACATGAGAAGCCAAGTCATGTTCCACATACGCCTCTTGGTAGTTACACGTGTGTTTCTGATGTTTGAAGAGTAAACTGTACTACTGTGCATATTCTCTCTCCCTCGTCATGCATATAGGTCAAAAAGAGATAGAATGCTTACTCTCTATTCCTAGCCATGCTCACGACTTGAGGGGATATCCATCGACCCACTGTAGACGACAAACAGTCGCCTATACTACCGTGCATATTCTCTCTCTCTCGCCGTCATACGTATAGGCGAAAAAGAGAGAGGATGCTTACTCTCTATTCTTAGACATGCTCACGAGTTGAGGGGGGTATCCATCGATCCACTGTAGACAGCAACTGTCGCCTCCTCAAACACGAGTCCAAGTATTGATTTTTCAGCGTATTTTAGGCGCATGAGCGCTTATAGAAAAACTGGCTCATAACGGTGGAACCGTCAGTTCTTATTTATACGAACAAAGAACCATGGCAATGTCGTGGAGAGTCAGTGGACTGTATGTAGAAAAGAAAGCAATTCAATGAACGTGAGCGCCTTCATAAACCCCGTAACGACTGACCCAAAAGAGGAGAGCATGATTGATTTCTCCAGCAATCTTCACACCAACCAGCCAATCTTCCAGCAATTCAGTTGTTTTCACAGCATAAAGCATTGTTGAGCTTCAACCACCAAGGGTGAGCGGACTACATCCACCAAAGATATGGAACGTTGATTGTGACCACGCCTCCCTCTTCCTTAGAAACGCATGAAAGTGGGCAAGAATGAATCCCAAATGCACAGAAGCGGGAAAGAATCGATCACAGATGCACAAAAGCGCAAAAGAATGAGTGACCTCAAAAAATAAAATTGTTCTCTTACCCAGCCAACTGCCCATCCAGGAGGCTAGGGAGATTTTAAGAAGCCTGCTGGAAACGGACATCAGAGCACAATGGATAGAGGGACACAGATTGTTATACAAATGGGGCCACCTCTCCGATAACTAGAGGGATCAGGGGGGAGAGATTTCAGTGGCCGGGGATAGGAACCACACACAGGAAGCCCCCCTAAGGGAGCCAGAGGCGAGGAAGAGAGGAAGAGAACACGGCGGGGACACATTGAGCTGAAACACCAGTCAGGGAACAGACGAGGAATAAGGTAGGGTTTAGGGTTTAGAGGTTCTGGCAGGACTTTTACGCTGTATGGATTCTCTCACTGGTTTGACAGGGTTAAAAGATTTTAGCGAAGAAAACGGTAGATAGCAAACTTGCCCCGCTTATTTAGGTTTTCCAAGTTTTCTGCCTTATTGAGACCAGCTTGTGGTCTCCGTGGCCGGTAGTACAGTCCATCCCCTTTTTTGTGTGTTTTGGTTTTATTAGGACAGTTTTAAGGCTTTTGGTTGCAGTCAATGGGACGCTGGACCCGGTTTCCAGCACAAGCCTACCTGGGTAATGGCCCCAGAACACTCCAGGTTGAGATGTCGAGGAATTCCCGGGATCATTTTTTGGACATATAATAAAACTGCACCCTAAACAAAACAAAAAAAAGTTACCTGTGAATGGAGGATTAACCTTCATCTTGATCAAAGTGTATTCCTGGGGTTGCACGCCTTCCCCAGAAGCACGGTCGTGGTCTGCACATGGCTGAACAGAAAGAAAAACAATTGTTTTCAGCACATTGTTCAAACACACACTCAAAACCAGAGTACCCCATCAGCTCGGTGCAAGAGTTAACGAAGCCTCGTGCATATAATTGGTTGTCAATTAATTTCTCAACGTTTTCTCGCAATGTGCAGGTATTTATTTGAGTTTTTGCAATGCGGAGGTGCTTGAGCCACCCATCCCGAGAGAAGTTCACCTATACAGCCAACTGCAACTGCAACTGCGAAAACCGCAAGGTTCTGTCAGACTGCATCAGGCATAGACGAACAAAAGGACAACAGAACCACAATTAGTATGGCCTTAAGAGTGTAAACCGCCACTACATCCTGGCCGACATCCGGTCCTGCATCCAAACCATTCCCTTTCAACCGTGGGTTCGCTTCGTGCCCATAGGTCGAGCTGGCTATCAAGGTTGGTAATCACAGGCCCCATCTGCACAGAGGGGATCTAAGGATGAAGTAAGTAGCAGTTTAAATAACAGCAAAGGAGAAGTGCCGGCTTAAAGCTTCACTGGTCCCAACGGCCTACAGTCACTGTACAGGGAGATGCATATCAGTCAACTCGGTAGCAGTGTCGGAACGGACATCCCTACAAGGGTGCCCATTTAGCGTTAAGGCGGCTGTGCACAAGTGTCGGTAGCTTGGCTGGCCAGTCGGAGCTTTCATGGGACTGGCCAGGTCCAAGGTCCGGCCAGGCGGCGCTGATAGGGGTGCGCACACTGCATGCTGCAGGCAAAAGGGGGTCTGGAATCTGCCCCCCCCTTCGAAGGCCAGTCAGGAAGTGCCACGTGAACAATACTTGGGCACGAGGCAGTTTGCCCCAGAAGGCCCTGGCAACAGCAGGGCATTTTTGGCCGCGCGTTCGCAAAATTGAATGGGCGAAAGGTCGTGCAGGAGGACAGAACTCAGGATGGCGCAACAAGAACAACAACAGCAACAACAATGCTGAGTACAACAAAGGTGGGGGGCACTTCACTGGACTTGGTCAATGCTTGTGCTGTTGAAGCAATGTCAACGACAACAACAGTGATGATGATGATGGTGACTATGGGGCAGTTTATTGGATTTCATAATTTATTGCATTTCTTGTTGAAGAAGCCAGTCATCCTCACCCTATCCCTGTTAGAGGGCTAGTGGCTACCAGGCAGGTGATCCAATTTATGCAACATTTTACTTTGGGAAATCGGTCCATATTATTGATCAAGTGCATGGCACTGTGGGGCCAGGAGACCTGCTGCATTGACATCCATACACTACCAGCTTAATGTGACGGAGTCTATGGCCCAGATGAGGTGGCCGCATTTTCTCGAGTTTCAAATACCCTTTGTCGAGTCCAATTGTGAGCTGCACAACCCTTTGTTGCCGAACATGCTATACAGCACATCGGAGTCCAGGACACTTCTTTTTCAGCGAAAGGACGAAAGAAAGGCGAGGGAGAAAGAGAGAGAAAGAGAGAGAAAGCACAGGGAGGAAAAAAAAAAAAAAAAAAAAAAAAAAAAAAAAAGGCAGCCAGTTCGCAGAGGTTTCCACCTAGAGGCAGGCAATTTCCAAAATAGCTGTCATGCTCATTCAAATATAATCACATAATAATAACAGATGGCTCAATTGAAACAAAAGCAATGCTCACAGTTTTGAATCACACTTGGAATCCCCTTCCCACCTGTCCATCCTTGGGAGAATATATTGCATACCGCTTATCCTTCACCACCTGTGTTTGTGTAGGAACACCCCGCCAGCACACCACATGCACACCCCCATCCAAATCATAGGCAACAAACAAACCAGCCAACCAACAGCCTCTGTGAATCCATTAGAGCGTCGTTTATGACAAGAAATAAGAGAGAAATGCAGATAATTAATTGTCTATCGACCCCACGCAATTACTTTTTTGTCTCCATGCACAGTACAACTCTGGATAATAGGCAAATTGATCAGCACTTGAAAAAGCAAAACTAAAGTCCAAATAGGTAAGGAGAAGGCAAAACACAGGTAACTAACTGACTACGACCATCCCCCGACTGAAAACCAGCCCCATTATGACTGTATAAGACTGGACTTATAGCTTGTATACATTCATGTCCCGGCTGCATTGTGTTTGGGGGAAGACAGTAGCAGCCACACTTACTCCCCTCCCAAGTGTACTTCACAAGTGAAGCAGATCTGTTACGCTCTTGGTATTATTCATTATCTACCGCACACAACCGCTGATGCAATCATACACAGAACGATAGCAGCCACACTTGCTCCCCTCCCAAGCGTAATTCACAAGACAAGCAGAGCTGTTACGCTCTTAGTATTATTCATTGTCTACCGCGCACAACCACTGATGCAAACCACACACATAAGATGGGCAGATGGGCATGCTCCTGGATTCATTCAGGATCTCTTTGATATTATCGGCGGCTTACCATTCCAAGCGTAATAGACACACAACAAAGGGGTTCGCTCCACTACTAGTCAAATGTGCAAAATGAGAGTGCCTCTTCCACTAGTACATGGAAAGGTACACCGCCATTTCATTTTTTTTTGTCTTTCGTGCATATGGTGAGTAGTGGAGCGAGGCCCTACTGGTCCAAAGCATAGAAAGACAACAACAAAATCGCCACAGATAACATCCCTGACATTTTTGTATTGGTCCTCTATACTTTGTCATGACAACCCCACACTCTTAAGCTCACGTTGAAAAGGCATTTCCATTACTTCACTGCAGACTGTCCTTGAAGAAACCCAAAGATAGCAAACAACGCTCTCTTCGCTTGATGCTCTCAACTCAATTAGAAACTGTATTCCAGTCCGAATATAGTAGTTGACATCAACAAAATCGTGCTAACAAGCATATGAATCAAACCACTTTTCTGACCAGGTTCACATAGCACAAGTAGTGCCTACCTAGTATTCCAGTCCGAAATATAGTAGTAGTTGCATCAACAAAATCGTGCTAACAAAGCATACGAATCAAAGCACTTTTCTGACCAGGTTCACATAGCACAAGTGGGGCCTACCTAGCCCCCATTACTTCACTGAAGATTGTCCTTGACGAAACGCAAAGGATAGCAAACAAAGCTCTCAGCCCCAATTAGGAACTGTATTCCAGTTCTAAATATAGTAGTTGACAAACGGCCAGACACCCCGGTGCGGCTATGTTCGTGCAAAGAAAGCATACGAATCAAACCACTTTTCTAACCAGGTTCACATAACACAAGCCCTGGCTCCCCAAATGGCCAGAGCCCAAAAGAGAATGTCCTAGTCAAATGATTACTCAACTCTCTGCAAATCCACACGGCTTCACAAAACAGCAGTTTCCGGTATGAAACAGTTTTCACCTTTGGCAGTAGCCGATGCAGATCCCAGGGGGCGATCCCTTGACCTCAGCTTACCTGTGTACAGTATCTGCACAGTTCCC